GACACAATAATGTACAGTATGTGGAAAATAATGTTTTTTTTTACCTTAAACCGCATAAACACATTTCATTACACCAAATACACAAAATAATGTTCTTTTTAGCAACATCATATGACCCCTTTAAAATCGCTTGCGCTTTAAAAAGGGGGAGGAGACCAAAAGAAACTGGGTTTACCGAAGAAAACCTGCTCCTGACCAGGGGCCTGTACCATGATGGTGGCTGAACAAACTCTGGGTTATAGGATTAGTTTTGAGTTGACAAAACCAAACCAGTCCAATCCGGCTTTGTTGGTACAATGAAGCTCATCATCAACTTTCTGAGTTAATGGAGCACGTCCACATGAAAGAGTGACATCAGTAATGAACAGCCAATCAGATGCCTTGAAACTGTGATTCACTTCTTGAGAGAAAAGAGAAACTGGGGGAGTGGCTTTATTGCATCAGAGATGCGTCACTTTGCTTGAAGCTGATTGGTCAAATTTCACTTTGAGATCTCTAAACCAGAACATAACCTGCCCTAGAGCAGGTTAGCTGTGGAGTGTGAGTTACTAAGGCAATGAATGCCGCTAAAAGCCAAGTCACTTTCATGGTACCTAAAACCCAGGATTGGTGCAAACTAAACTGAAACTTACCTGGCTAGCCACTGTAGCCAGCTAATCTGGCTTCATGGTACAGGCCCCAGGTTAGGTTCACAGAGTAAGTTACCATGGCAACGGACTCTGAGTATAACCTCCCTTTCAGAAACGGGCTTGATTTACCCTGCTTTCTCGGGTTTGACATACCTCCCATTCTGAAACGGAAAACCCAGAGTTCCCCTCATTTCAGGTTTAACATACTCAGAGATTTCACTTGACCTCCTTTCTGAAACGGGACCCTGGAATACACCCCAGATGTCTGGTACCACACAACAATACCACTATAAAGGAACACGACACGGATATCGATTAATGGCATGATACAATGGTGGGAAAATCGATAATAACGGTTGCCATGGCAACATGATAACGCTCTCGATGAAACAGCTGTTTAAAGCGTAGTGACACACTACCTCCCAAAGCGTTCGTGCACAATGCTAACATTGGTAAACAGAAAAGTTTAATCATAAGAAAAAACTTTTAGCTAATAATTCGCTTTCTCCTTTCTAAGTTACCCGATATTCGCCCACAGTCACCGATCTAAGCCATAAACTCACCCTTTCACCACGAAAAACGGATCTTCCATCGACATTTTGGTGCTCAGATGAGTCGATTCTTGTGCGATAAGCTCATGCTCCTGATCGCGGCTGGTTTTGCTCTTCTTAAACAAAGGAGAGCGCTTAATGTGTTGTTTACATGTGGGACGGAGCCCGGATCCGCTCAGCCGCCATTGCTCGGCGGAATCACATCCGGGTCCTTCAGCGTCTAGACACACACACACACACACACACACACACACACGAACGCATACGCGCTTCCTGGTAAACAAAAACCGGCGTGCTCTGCGTGGGTTGTTTTGGTTTGTTGCAGTAAAAGAACCAAGCAATATTGCCACAGATATGTTCAAATGTGTATAAAAGCAAGATTGTAATTATAAACATACACACACAGTTATTTATTAGCTTGTTTAATTCAGATTCTGATATATAAATGTAGAAATGTAGTTACAATTTCAACACCACTATATCATCCCAGTCAATATTACTTTATTCTGTTATAATTTAATAATTCTATAGTATATTATACACTATTATGGAACATTATATTATTATTGTTATGAGTAATAATAAATATGTAGTGACATGCATTTAAACAACTCTATAGCATCTAAGGCAATAAATTATTATTATTTGATACTGATATAGTGTACACTGCTATATAATTATTATAATAATTATTATTATTTATTAAATTAAAATATATTTAAAATGTAATGTAATAATTATTCATAATTTAATAATAATAATAATAATTATTATTATTATCATCAACATCGTCTCATCATCATTATTATTATTATTATTATGTTTTGTTTTACTTATCTTGTCTTATACACTAAAACGTACTGTGGTAATACCATGCTATTGTGATGATATCTAATGGTGATACCATTTTGAAATTCAGAAAATTTTGTATCATGATAGTATCGTGGTACATGTCTAAAAAAGCTCTATTATTTTTTTTATATACATTTTCTCAAAATTTCCATACAATAGTATATATGAGGTATTACCAGCTGATACTTATTGTTCTATGGTGCCACCAGTGTACTTTTTCTTCTTCTTTTTAATTGAACTCTAGAATTTACCTTAATACATTACATGAATTAAACTATTCCCAAAAAATGTTAAAAATTAAAATTGATTAATAACAACAACAACAATAATAACATTTGAAATAATCTAAAATAATAGAAAAAGGCCACAACTAGGAGTCTGCCACTGTTTTCTCTTAATAAGCGTAGCTTTGCGCCTCGTCTTCCTTCTAAAACAGTGCTTCATGCATTATTCAACACAGCGCACTGCCTTCTCATTAGCTGACTATCTACACCAGTGCTATCCACTGGTAAGCAGACGCTGTGTATGATGTAAAACCAGCAAACCAGCTGGAAACACTTCAGCTTAGTAAGTAAAGCTGCATAAATTATTAATCAACTCTGGTTTTATTTATAGTATCAGTTGCCAGTTTCCCATCAACAAGCAGACCTGCAATTGAAAAGCTGGGAATAGATAAGGATAGCCTACATTATTTTATATGGACCTTGTGTTGTATCCCTTTACTAACCACAGCATAAACACAGCTGGATTCTGATTTAAATAACAGTATTATGGCTTTATTCCATTTGTTCTTGTCTATCAATAATACATTCTTCTTAATCTGAAACACGGCTCGACGCAGTGGAAGCAAAGGATTTCTCAGATGTTCTTGCGGTAGCCACGATGACTGTGATCGTTTATATTTAGATAAACAATCTCTGAAAGTGTCTTACGTCATAGCGCGCTCTTCCTGTCAGGTTTGTTTATGACCCACATCTTAATGCAGGCGAACTCACAAACCAGCGCACACGGATTGCTAACTTAAAAAATGACATATAAATAATGAAAGCATCGCCACTCAGAAGCACTATCATCAATTCAGGGTCAAATCTCCCACACTATTCATTGTCGTTCATGAGTAGCGGCTAACTGTTTCTTCAAACAAAACATTGCCCTTCCCCCCACTAACAGCTCCATTCACATTTGCCCAGACACCGCAGTGGATTTGCACAATAGAGTCATGTGACACGACTGTAGCAGACAAACCATTACATCAGTCGAGGAAGTCAGTTGAAAAGAATTAAAGGGGAAGTGCACGTTTTTCTGAACATAGAACGAGATGAGCTGCTATGCGGAAACCGTGTACAACATAAAAACAATAATACAGTAATGTGGATATTTAAAATCTATTTTAGAGACTAAATATATGAAACAAGGAGCCTACCCTAAATATGCTACATAATCTGTAAAAACACGAGTTAGTGTCTTGTATATGTCGATTTTGGCTTGTTATTCGTTACAAAAATTATGTTGTGTTTTAAATATAGTTCGTCTTAGTTTTATAAATCAAAATAGCTGAACAAACACAATGAGTTGTAAAAATATCTGGCTATTTTAGAGTGAAAACAATTCTATCCCTTTAAACAGTTCTCCCACGTTAGTATTTAAATATGACTCATCGCCACTGCGCTCTCCCATTGGTCATCGCTTATTTGGCGGGGTGTGATTCACAACCCTGGCAGAACGCAACTCGAGACGTGATTGGCTAGTGTAGCTGCTGACGCTGAAGTATAAAAGCAAGTTAAAAATAGAATCAGTCTCATTCCTCCCTAGACCATTGTTGGGTGCTGGAAAGAATGTGTGAGGTATTCAAAACTCCTACACTCACCCAATAATACAAATATTGTATTTTGTGAACGAGAATGAGGATTGTGTCAACAAAATACTGGACGATTTGATCTACGGGAGGAAAAGACTACTTGGACGTTATTTATTAACGCGTTTCCGAGCCGGGGGCCAATTCGCAATAGCTGTTTGAGGAGAATCAAACGCGGAACGCCCGGCGAACTTTGTACCTCTGTGAACTTTACCATATCCATTCCAGCCATGGAATACAAAGTGGAAGCCCATCGGATTATGAGTATTTCCTTAGGGAAAATCTACAACTCGCGCGTTCAACGAGGCGGCATTAAACTGCATAAAAACCTCCTGGTTTCGCTGGTCCTTCGCAGCGCGCGCCAGGTCTATCTGAGCGACTACTACAGCGGCGCGTGTCTGAACGCTGCTCAGAGCGAGCGCGAATGGGACATTACGGACACAGAGCGGGAGAAATTCCCTCCCTCTACAACGGAATGTGACCGAGTAGAGAGCTCAGAGGAACCTCAAAAGAACGAGCGGCCCGAGAAAGAGCGGGAATATCGCGAAAACGACGATGAGGTGAAATCAGACCAGGCGGATTGTACTTCCACTTTACAACAAGAGCAAAACCAAAACTCTTCGCAGGACTCTGTGGCAAAGGTTTCATCTGAAACACTGCAGGAAACCATTAACGAACCCAAGGAGAGTCCCTCAGACAGTGCATTAGCAGAACTCGACTCAACGCCTGAAGCGAACGGGGAATCACATCAACCACCCAAAACGCACGTTTGTTCAAACAGGAAAAGAAGCGCGGAGGAGTCGGAAAGTGGCGATTCGCCTCAAAAAAAGACCAAAGTTGCTTCCTCAAACGCTAAAGAGGGTGAGGAAGCCGAGGAGATGGACACAAGTAACGTGTCCAACCTCATTACGATATTTGGTTCCAGTTTCTCAGGACTTCTCAGCAAAGACGGCGCTAAACCCGAGTCTGAAGCAGAGGATAGTGGACAAATCTGCTGCGACCAAATGTTGAAGAACCTAAACCCTTGGAGTACAGCGATAGTAGCTTTCTAACTGTACTGTACTTCTTATCCGGGTTGATCTGAGCACATTGGTAACACGTGGTCAGGCCCAACATCGTAGTATGGGACTTCCCAGCAAGCATGAGTGGTACTAACGTTACCAAAGTACAAGCTCCGTTTGGCCTGTAAGATGTCCGGGCATGCCTTTCTAGTGAAGGAGCTATCTGAATGCTAGTGCTACTACTTGGGATCTACTACAGTCCTTGAAGTGTTGAACTCTCAGACATTATAAAGCCATGTGAGGAGTGGTATTACAACATATGCAAATGTGTCATGAAGGTCAATGTTACATTGTCACTGAACCGATTCAGGGTCGATCACACCAAACTTGACTGTACGAGGTTTAGGCCACTGTTTTAACGTCTTTGTTTTAAAAAGACCTGTACATTCTGTAATATTCGAGTGTGTATATATTGTTTGTCGCATTCTGAATCCATGTGTTTTGGTATCATGACAATTTACGTGGTGCTCACGTATTAAAAAAATGTGAAATTACACAGTTTCTGTGCTTTGTGTTCACGAGTGGAAACGTTGAGAACGTGACTCACATGACTAAGAATGACACCTCATCATCCACCTTTTTTCAAATGTCAGCCTCTTTTTTTTTTAGAATATTCAAAAATAACAGCCCATTGCTGTTTTTAAGGTTCCCACGGTGATAGAACTTTAAAATAATTTTAAATTGCAGATTACTAGAAAATGCTAATACTTATATAAATATATAACACTACTTCATTGTCAAAAATAGCAGTTTGTGATATGTATATGGTATATACACATAGCCTACATATACAAGGTTGATTCAGAAGTGTTCCAATTTACCTGAATTCATATTTTAAATGTCTGAATTCTATATATATATATTTAAATTACATAGAACTATTCAGTAATCGCAAATGAAAATTAAAGAAACTCGGAAGTTCTTTGGTCAGGAAGTGTGAGAACCATATTTTACACACTTCATTTTGAATAGAAGATTCAATGAAAAACAATTTAGGGTTAGTATTTAAATATTTAAAATGAAGCTTCCACAAAAAAAAGTATTTGGACCAAAGTGATCCAACAAGTTTGAGAAGAACAAGAATGTTCAGCTGCTGTTCCACTGCATCACTTCCAGGCAATTTTTACTGCATGCTGTAAAGAGAGCTATTGTACCCCTGAAGCATGTGTGGTATGCAGGGTTCCGTTTCAGCGCAGACTGCTGTCTCTTCTCCCAGGGCCTGTCTTTGGTCCCAGGCTATTCAACATGACATGCCTTTTCCTACAAGAGAGAACAGTCATAATAGAATCATTGACTTCTCAACCTTTTTTTCCATGTAGAAACATCACTTGAGCAGTCTTACATTATTAATAGAGGTGATATGATTCATAATTTACAATGAGTAAAAGGCGTTATGCTCAAAACATTTTTCATTTTATGTGAGTAATTATGAGAAATGTATTTCATGTA